CCTTCGCACCTTCGCAGCTCCCTCGTCTCAGCGGTGCCCGTGAGGCGCGCCCGGCCGCGCTCTGCATCGATGCCGCCGTCCCTCCACCAGCACGGGCAGCTGCGCCTCAGCCCCAGCCTCTCTCTTGAAGTAGCACGAATCCCCTAGGAAGCTGTTCCATGTAAACCGCTCCCTAACCCCTCCTGACCAGCTCTCCTGTAATTGACTGTTAATTACACGAACGCATACTCCGGGCTCCCCGTGCTTGACAGAAAAATGTACTTTTGCTTGGTTTTAGTGCTTGCTGGCAGCACAGGAGCGAACGTAAAGCTGCTGCGTTAACTGGCCTGGTTGCGGCAGGAGAGAACGTCAGCGGCCATCGCTCCTCTGGGTACTGCGGCCTTCTGCGCGTTTGCCACAAAGTCAGACTTGGCTCAGAGGTGAGAAACCTCCATTGGGAGGCCACATGCAGGAGCTCGCCTGGCACTAAGTCAGACCTTCCTGATTTAGCCCATCAGACTAAAGAAGACATTAAACGCCAGCCAGAGGAAAGACAGCCGTGAAGAAAATTTTCCACGTGTGAACTGGCTGAAAATTAACACACGGCGATTCAAAATCGTCTTCACAAGTTGTTCAGTGCAGCCTGTAAGCGCTGTGGACATGCAGTCCCACTTAAAGCCACAAGATTGCTAGAAATCACGCGTGTTGTAGACCCTCATCCAACACTTAAACTTGGAAAAAGGTTTTAAAAAAGCAGCTGAATAGGAGTTGACTGTGCATCAACATGTTTAAGTGCAAAGGCTGTTGATTTCTTTCTTGGACATGGGGAAGAATTTTTATTACTTTATTTCCTATCATTTCTTACTAATGCTCACTCCCTTCCCCAGGGAGGAGTTACTGCATTTGCTAGGGATTCTGAACAGTATAGTCAGACCTGTGGCGTATTTTTGAAAATTGGGGTAAATCTGGGAAAAAAAGAAACAAAAGATGGTTCTTTTTTTTCCCTTCTTGTTTTTGATCTGCTATAGCGAAGTCATAGCACCCAAAGAAGTTATTCCGGCTCCAGAGCAGAGGGAAATGCTAAAACTCAGTAACTCAAAATAGGATCACAGAAAACAACTAGAAAGATGCTTCTTTTGCTATTAACTGCCTTCACATCCCATCTGTTTATCTGCGCTTTTCTGAGGGAACTGCCTTTTCCCACACAAGCCAACTTCAAACCCAGCAATTGCACATTTTTCCCCTCTAGGTTTTTTTTTCTTCTCTTTTTATCTATCCCTCTAATTATGAAGTAACTGAAATGTTAATTTATTGCTATCTTGGCATTCCCTCGAACCGCACTGGTGGGAATCCGACTGCCTTCGACCACTTCCACGGCCAAATAGTTACTTTGGGAACGTGTGTTGCTGTACCCGCCGTACTTCATGCTGCTGGCATCGCTGCTGCTGCCCTGCCTCAGAATGGTTCTTTGGTTTTGTATTTTCCAGCTCCTGTTATGCTTGGAGGACAGTGTAATTGTGTGGTAAGTTATCCATAAGCAAGGCCCCTTTTCTGAATCATGCTGTGATTTATGTACTTCAGGTTAACTCCAGAACTGGCCCTGTAAAGGTAAGAGTAATGTTTCACGCATGGGAGATGCGGCTGGGAACGTTGTTTAGCTGCTGCCTTCTAGCACAAGCAAATTATCTCATGTTTTCACATTATTGCCCCCGCTGGGAGAGCTCACGTAAGAGGTTCCTGCTCTCCTCTCCCCTCATCCTCCTGGAGCTTTACTGTCCCAGCACTGCTGTTAATCAGTTGTGCGTGGTGATGCTCCAAGCCCAACCTGCAAAAAACCGCGGGATCTTTTTCCATATCCAGTTTAGAGCACAACTGCACACAGTTGAAGGGGCACCGGGCGAGAAGAGGTGAGTGGCTGAGGAAGGTGGCGGGGTCGGGGACTTGCTTAACAGGACCTGTCGCTGGCAAAACAGCAACATGGACTTGCAGGCTCATGTTTGTCCCATTGGTCCCTGGCAGAGGACAGGTCTTGAGGGCCCACCAGGAGCCACAGTCACCTTTGCTGCCCAGGACATTCCCAGATAGCAGCGAGAGGCTCTTGCAGGAATGCCTACCTCTGTCCATGTTAATCTAACGGAGAACAATGACCAAGGCTTGAGACTTTAACTGCATCACTATTTTTCCTAATCAGACCATTCTGGGCCCCACTGAAAGTTACGGATTTCTTCGGCTTCAACTGTGGAATTTAGAACTGCTGCCCAAACTCTTTCGCAATCAGGTTTAAGAGTTAAAAGAAGAAAGTGTTTCACAGCCCCCCAGGTATTTTTGTAGGCTGTCAACATAAAAGGTAAGTTGGCACCTAAAAAGGGCTGTTCTGAGAATGGCACCCCTGCGCAGCATCATTTCAAGGTTAACTCTAATAAATGTACGCTCCTGCTTCCACAAGTCTAAACTCTCCCCAAAGTCCATCACAAACCAGAACCTCACAAAGGTCTTGATGGAGGGAAGTACTTTGATACGTATGGAAGCCATTACTAATCAGTACATGCTCAACTTAAAGTGATCTGGTGAGGGCTTTCCTGAGTCAGGACCAAAATACAAAGATATGATATATTTTAATTAGACCAGAAAATGCTTCTGGTCTAAGCACTTGTACAGGAAGCTATAAAGCTGACATTTATATATTCTAAAATTTGGGAGAAGTTTTTTTCCCCCTTCAACAACACACAAAATATAAAAGTCTGAAAAAGTATTACTCGTCTTTTAGCAACAGCTGCTGGTGAGGACTTCGAAAGAGTTAATACAAAGAACTAAATAAAAAATTTCACTTGTTCAGCGTATTCTGCAGATCGCTGGAACGGTGAAGCCTGACAGCCTGCCTTTTCTATGTAGAGAGCATTAGGGGAGTACTTCACTGAGCAGAATTTCACCACCAGATACCAACAGAAGAGTTCTTCCCAAACTTACAGAAAAGAGTTACGAGCTGTGTTTTTTCTGCAGAGGAAAAAAAGCATAATCAAGGCATGGTCCATTTCCTGCACTCCCAGTTCATGCACCTCAGATTTGGGACTTCTTGAATGTTATTTTTGCAAAATGAAGCAGCTCTCCTTTATAAAGTGTGTTCTGCTCCTTGCACGAATGGCCCTCGGGGTGACACCTCTGAGACAGATTCTACCCCTCTCTTCTTCCTCAGGAAAGGAGCATCGAGGGGACAGGCAGTAGGAGAAGAACATCCAAGAGGCAGATGGCAAGACACATTTTCCCAGGAGAAGAAAATTAGCACCCTTCCCCAGGCTTATCTCCTCTCCTTTTCCAGAGGGAATGCCTGAGACGGTGGGAGCAATATAGGCAGGCTGATGGAAAGCCAGAGTGCAACTTGGAAGCCTGAGCCGCTGCAAATCCCACCACAGTGCTCTTCCTCCAGACAGGAGCCAGAAAAAATGGAAACCACTTCTCCATCTAGAGGGGCTGAGGCTTCCGATGGGTTAGTAGGTGGAGGGAAAGGTTAAACTCCCAGGGAGCTGTCGTGTATCAGGCCCAACTGCAGACCGAAGGACAACCAAAGCCGAGAATAGCAGTATGGAAAATTGGTGCATTTTGTATTGCCGAAGACTTACTAAATCCAATTCCCAACCTTGTCCTTACAAGGAACACGCACTGCTCAAGCTCTTAAAAATTAAGACTGGGGTGATTTATTAATCTTGTTAAGAACTCTGATACAAAGCACAGTAAAAGGCCACAGACCAGTAAATAAAATGTGGCTTCTGGCCACTTTATAAATGCTGCTACAGTACTACCAGTAAAACAGACTCACTCTCACACCAGTTCAAACCAGTAGTTCAACTGGCAAATAAAAGTTCCATTCACTTATCAGTTTAAAAAGTTTAATAAAGCTTTAAGTGTTTGCTGGTTTAAATGCTACCAATTTCCAAAATGGATTCACGATTAAGTTAAGTGAGATCTAAAGGAAGTTATTAGGTTTGGAAGGCAAGACTGTTCCTAAGCCAGAGGAAACACTTCTGACCGTGTAAGATTGCAAGAGTAGCAGACTGTATTATAGGCCTCAAGTCACTTAAACTTATGCAGGTTATTAGCATTATCTGTAAATATACAATATAAACAATTGTACATACATGGCATATAGCTTTGTTCTCCAGAACAGTAGACAACTCTTTAGCTTAAGACATCTTCGCCTACCAAAACAAAAAGGCACATCTGAACAAGATGCATGCTAAGTACTAGGGATCCTTTCCAACATCCGAGACAGGTAGTCCTTGTCCATCCTTTCTCAAAATAATCAAGACCAACGGAGTATTTTGGTATTTAGATTTCAACCCATTTTTCTTTTTTGTCTTCAGCAGCAAATCAATGGCAATTAAGACATGGCATTAAAATATGTGGGAACAGTAGCTGTCACTCGTGAACCTCCAAGCTTACACCAAGCTAGAAGGCAAGTGGCCAGAGGTTTAAAATCGGTAACACTGTATATCCTCATGTTGTGTAATCATCCCATTGTT